AGCGGATTGGCTCTGCCAATTATACGAGAGCTGGGAACGGCTCCGCAGATTATACGAGAGCTGGGAAGGGCTCCGCAGATTATACGAGAGTTGGGAACAGCTCAGCGGATTATACGAGAGTTGGGAACGGCTCCGCGGATTATACGAGAGTCTGGAACGGCTCCGCAGATTATACGAGAGTTGGGAACAGCTCAGTGGATTATACGAGAGTTGGGAACAGCTCAGCGGATTATACGAGAGTTGGGAACGGCTCAGCGGATTATACGAGAGCTGGGATTGGCTTCGCGGATTATAGGCGAGCTGGGAACAGCTCAGCGGATTATACGAGAGTTGGGAACGGCTCCGCGGATTATACGAGAGCTGGGAACAGCTCCGCAGATTATACGAGAGTTGGGAATAGCTCAGCGGATTATACGAGAGTTGGGAATAGCTCAGCGGATTATACGAGAGCTGGGAACAGCTCCGCAGATTATACGAGAGTTGGGAACGGCTCCGCAGATTATACAAGAGTTGGGAACGGCTCCGCAGATTATACGAGAGTTGGGAATAGCTCAGCGGATTATACGAGAGTTGGGAACGGCTCCGCGGATTATACGAGAGCGGGGAACGGCTTTGCGGATTATAGGCGAGCTGGGAACAGCTCAGCGGGTTATACGAGAGCTGGGAATGGCTCCGCGGATTACACGAGAGTTGGGAGCGGCTCAGTGGATTATACCTGAGCGGCTCCGCGGATTATACGAGAGCTGGAAGCGGCTCTACTGATTAAACGGAACAGGAACGCTGGCGGCATTAAAGAAAACCTGTACTGAGAGAATTTTGGTGGCTCCCACTTCTGACCTGATACTAGCTGTCATGCTGATCCAGTGGCTTTAGAACTTTCAGAAGTATGCAGATTATGTGTTTTGATTCCCCTGACTAAATGCTTGTTCAAGGACATTAGAAAATAAAGCACTGAGATCAAAGAAACCCGAGCACCGGCCATGTAAGGATGACAGTCATGACATTCTGCAACAGAACCCTCTGATTTCAACATTGCTAGTGAGACCGGAACCTAATGATCATCGCCCTGTTTCCTATCGAACAGCTTTGAAGGTTGCACTGTTTTCTAGCGGGGGACTGCAAGGGAAGTTGCACCTGTGGAGTTTCCTTGCCCAGCGTGGAGAGAGCATTGGTGATACATTGTGGCTGAGACGTGTGTATGCTCCTTTCAGTTCCTCTGATTTCTGTGATATATTCGGTGTGATTATTGCTCAGCACTGACAGGGGGATTTGCTGTTTCCTATTGGCAGCAGGAATGCACAGCAGATATTAATAATGTAAATAACCATGTGTACAGTCTGCCTGCTTTCCATCACTTAGTAATTTGTATATGTGTTTTCTGAAAGAGGAACTCCAGGTTTTAACCCTTGCAGTGGGTCTATTCCTGCACTACAAGAGTTAAGTGCTTGTTTTGGTCTAGAGATTGGATTATAGGAGATATAATCGCCTGATCCTCAATCCCGCCTGGCAGCTTGACCACTCCTGGCAGCCTCTTCTCCCCTGCTGATGCTATCGCATCTAATAAAGGTCCATTCATTTGCATTAGATGGGAGGACGGTGGGGGATATTCCGCAGCCAGATCAGAGGGGGAGAGAGGTGAGCACTTACCACTGAGGGATCAGATGAGCGTATCTTCTGTATTCCGACCCCTAGATCAAAATGAGCGGTTAACCCTTGCAGTAGGTAGCCCCACTGCAAGGGTTTACTTTGTCAATAGCTGGAGTTGCTCTTTAGGTGTCTCTGAAAATGTCTGTTTTGGATAGTGTAGGGAAGCATTTAATCCTCTGTCAGGTTTCTATAGCTGTCTCTGTCCCCAAGAGGAGATTCCCCTTCTCTATTTATACCGGTGACTGTTGGGAATTCCAAAATGTGTCCCCCAGGACAAGAGCTGAGGGGAAATCTTCCAATGGGGACAACTAAGAGAGGAATTCCTCTAGCTTCCTGTTGCATTTCTGGGACAGGAAGTGAAGGGAAATTTTCCCAATGGTACACAGGCAGCAAAAAATGACCTTCCCTACACTACCCAAAACGGAAAAAAAAAAAGTTTTGTCTATGGATGCATTTTAATAAATGTACCTGTCATATGGATTGCTGCTTGTGTCTGTAGATATACAGTGGTACCTCGATTCACGAACTTAATTTGTTCCACGATTCTGATCGCGAACCGAATTGGTTGCCAACCGAATCAAACCGCGATCTCGCCTGTGCGGCTTTCACATTTACTACAGAAGACGTGTATCTAAACCTCTGCTTTTAACCTTAGTGGTTAGACAGGTTTTTTTGCATGCTGGCTGGTGAGTGTGCCTGGAAACCTTTTTGCTGTTGTACTGTATAAAGCCCTTCCGTGTGCATCTTGCTGTAAAGCTGCTAACGAATTGATGAGTGCGTTTGCCATTTGTTTTGCTTGACTGATTTGGTGCAGTGACGCATGGGGGGTCTCAGCTGCCGTTGTGATGTGTGAGGTCCCTTGTGCGTACCTGTGCCTTTAAGGGAGGTTGGGCTTCCTCCTGACAAACCTGCACCCAATTTAATCTTTTGCCCCATGTGCTCCAAGATGGAGACTCATCGTTTAGAGTTAGGACCGCACTATAAGAGGTGCCTTGGCGCGGCTTTCACATTTTCTGCAGAAGACGTATCTAAACCTCTGCTTTTAACCTTAGCGGTGAGACAGTTTTTTTTGCATGCTGGCTGGTGAGTGTGCCTGGAAACCTTTTTGCTGTCTCGCCTAGAGGAAGCCACGACCATGTGTCAGAGCAGGGAAGATGGTCGTGTTCGTCACCCGATGCGTAGTTCGTGAACGGAAGCAAAATCTTGCTGAACTTCCTGTTCGCGAACCGAGGTATCGCTGTACGTAGTTATTTTTGTATGTATCTTGGAAAAAAAAAATCAATAGTTGTTCTTTATAAAGCTGCTACACAAATCCAGCAGGATGGGGAGGGCATAGGAGGTGACGCAAGAACAAGGCAATCTGTCTTATGTCGTATGGCAGGGGAAGGCAACCCTGGCATGCCAGCTGTTGTGGAGCTACAAATCCCACGAGGCATTGCAAGATTCAGGCATGACTCCCAGAGGCAAAGTCATGATGGGATTTGTTGTTTCATCACAGCTGCAGTGCTAAGGTTGCCTACTATGCCACCGCTATGGCTTTAGTTCACATCGACGAGCTGCTGCATTGTTCCGATGCGCCGTAATGCATCACAACGCCCTGCAACATGTGGATTTGAAAGACAAACAAGCAATGCAGTGCGCTCTAACATGCTGTGTGGTGGGAACGAGCTCTAAAGGACTGTATGGACTTTTGAGATTGAAGTCTAGCATTCTTCACCCGCCAAGGCACACAAGCGGCTGAACCCGTCCAACGCAAATTCCAGAGAAATACATACAAAGGTTCATTAGCAGTCACAAGTGAAAGTCGTGGGGATGTGGGGTGTCTGCTTTATTGGCTGCCTCTAGTTATAGAGATACCGTATGTAGGTTGCGGTTGCTGAGTGCTAATTGTCGGTCATGTTGATCCCTTTGCTTAAGTAGTTTGGTAGTCCCGAAACAAGCACACAGCTCCGGCGTTCCCACTTCACATGCTTGCTCCAGGTCACTGACTCTCTGGACGTATCGGGGCTGTGGCATCTCGCTGGCGATAATTTGCCTGCAATCGAATGACTAAAAATTGCAGAGAAAATGCTCACCCGGTCCCATGTGTCGCACCCTAGCTGGCTAGATCAGCCTTTCTCAACAAGGGTGCCGTGGCACGCTAGGGTGTCTTTTGGCATCCACAGATGTGCCTCAAAATGTTCACAGCGTTGTGCTTCTGATGTGAATGAGGGGATCTCTGAGGTGAATGGGGGCTTCTGATATGAAGAGGGTCTCCTAGTGTGAGAGGGAGTGATTCTGATGTGAAAGGAGGGGACTCTGATGGGATAGGAGGCTTCTGATTTAAAGGGGGATCCTGATGCGAAAGCAGGGGGCTTCTGATATAATGCGGGACTCTGATGTGAAAGGAGGGGGCTTCTGATATAAATGGGGACTCTGATGTGAAAGGAGGGGGCTTCTGATATAAAGGGGGACTCCGATGTGAAAGGAGGGGGCTTCTGATATAATGGGGGACTCTGATGTGAAAGGAGGGGGCTTCTGATATAAAGGGGGACTCCGATGTGAAAGGAGGGGGCTTCTGATGTAAAGGGGGACTCTGATGTGAAAGAAGTGGACTTCTGATGTAAAGGGGGACCCTGATGGGAAAGCAGGGCGCTTCTGATGTAAAGGGGAACCCTGATGGGAAATCAAGGGGCTTCTGATGTAAAGCGGGACCCTGATGTGAAAGGAGTGGGCTTCTGATATAATGGGGGACCCTGATGGGAAAGCAGGGCGCTTCTGATGTAAAGGGGGACTCTGATGTGAAAGGAGGCTTCTGATTTAAAGGGGGACTCTGATGTGACAGATGACACTTTGAGTGTGTTCTTGCATGAGGCCCCCCCTCAAAATCCATACCAGACCCATATCTGGGATAAGGGTCTCGTGTGGATTTTGGAAGGACCCCGTGTCCTTTTTTACATTTACAGTTTTATATATTTTAGGCTGGGGTGCCTCAAGAATTGTATTTACTATTAAAGGATGCCGAAACGCTGGGCTAGAGGAGTGAGACATTGCTCGCTTCCTGACTGAAATTTAGCAAAATGCAAGTCCCCAGAGAGGGATTGATTTCTCATCCAGTCAGAGGGGAAGCAATACATAGTAGACGAGTACTCCTCTTACCCTGTTTACACCCCCTATAGCAATTTGTCGCTGCCAAGGGCGGAATCACTAGAGCGACATGGCTGCTAGAGCCAGAGGATTAGCCAAATCTTATAATCAGATAGCAATTGTCAGTGGACACCTAAAAACCCTCATGTGATGACTTTTCCAGGGACAAGGTGATAAAACTTTCCTGTTGGCGTCTTTGTAATCGAAACATTTTACTGTTTTCCAGAATGGCGGATGGAGACAAACAAAACAGTGAAAATGACAAAGCAGTCAAAGCAACTGAAGATTCTCACCGAGGTGTCGCTGCTATTAAACCCCAGTAAGTATTATAGAGATGCATATAATACATGAGAAGGAAATCACGGCTGTTATTGTTTTATGTTGCACGAGGGATATTAAATAAGAATCTGGATACATTTTGTATGAACAACACAAACGGTTTCCCCATCACTTTGTGCAATTGGGTTATTAAACCTGGAGCAGAAAAAAGGGATCATTCCATGTTTCTTTTATTTGTTGTTGTTCCCCCAGTGCAAGTCAAAGGTTTTAAAAAGGGAATTTTCCCTATAAGGACAAAGCACAAGTTTGCTTAAAGGAGAACTATGAGGTGAGTGCTTTTCACTGACCTCATAGTTCTAGCCGACCTGTGACAATGAGACTGTCACAGGTCGGCTCAGTAGATCGGGAGGTGAGCGAACACATACCGGCGTTCGCTCACCTCTCGATCCTGTCACAGCTCTCTGCCGTGACAGGGGAGGGGCTGGATTCCCCCCTCCCCGCTCTGATCCTCCAGCACTGACTGGCGGAACAGACGGGGGAGGGGGCGGGTACAGCTGGCTCTGCCTCTAGATAGGCAGAGCCAGCTGTCAGTCTCGCAGCTGGGCGGATCCCGGCACAATTGTCGGGATCCGCTTCAGCTGTGGCGTCTCAGTATACCGCTAGCTACAGCTCACGGTATACTGAGCCTAGGGTGACGGGAGGACCCTAAGGAGAACTATGGGGAAAAGCCTTAACCCCATAGTTCTCCTTTTAAGTAAAGTATCATTGTTATAGGGTTAACGTTGGTCCAAGGGTGGAGAAAACCCCCCAAAACGTTTATAAGGTTAAATAAAGGGAACAGCTATCAATTTCGCTGAGCCTTATATAAGAAAATGGTCGTATTTGACTGTGAGGAAAAAAGATCGATGAAGGTCAGTTGAGTAATAAAGAAAAAGGTAAAATAAAAGGAAGGAACAGCTCTCTTCTCTTCTTGCGCAAAGAAAACCCCAATCCTCTTATAGGGAAGTCATGTGGCTTAATGCCATTTGTGGGTGACCGTAGTTGATTCAGGGTTGCCATATACCCCTGGTGCCCAACCTGCAGCCCTAAGGGCCCCTGCAGACTGTAGCCTATGTTTTCCATGCTTAGGTGCTTAAAGTGCCCATACACTGTTTGATTTCTGTACAGTGTGTGCTGCTGTCGGCACCCTTTCGGTCGGCATCCCTCGATCAGCTGATCAAAGCAGCCAGTCGAAAAATCTTTGATCGATCAGAGCCGGCAGCCAATGAGCTGCCCGCTCTGGTCGGGTATTCTGACAGCCCCTGTCAGCATACAATGTCAACAGTGGGATTCCTCGATCAACACGCTGTTAGTGTTGATGGAGGAATCAGGTTTATTTTTTTCGTTCAGCCCGCGGGTTGAACGCAAAAAATAGATCAGTGTATGGTCAGCTTTACTCAGACCAAGTGAAGCAAAAATATTCTTTAGACTGGGCTCTAGTAGTTAAATGGTTTGGTTTATTTCTTTCATCCTCTCTTACTTTTTCTGTGCTTTCCATCTTTTTTAATGTTATTTTATCTGATCTTTTATAATGGATCTTCCAGATGGAAATATCAAATGCAGGAATAACAGATGTGGAAGCATTGAATTATAAAGGGGCTGTAATAGCAGTGATTCTTAAGCTGTCTCATGTAATGTGTCCACATTCTCTGGTCATCTCCTGCAGCATTTTTGCAGTGTCTTGCAGGACGCTCGTGGTCTTTGACCAACAGCTTTATTAAGCATTATAGTCACAGAACATTAGCCATTTGGTGGCATCAGGGGCAGCTCTTAAAAGATAACTATGGGGTAAGTGTTTTTCCCCATAGTTCTCTTAAGGCTTACGGGAGATAATATACTAGCGTCCTCCCTTGGTCCAAAGCTCAGTATATCGCGAGCTACAGTTCGGGGTATACTGAGACCGCCGCAGCCGGGACAGATTCAGATTATACTGTCGAGATCCACCCAGCTGCGGGATTGACAGCTGGCTCTGCCTATCTAGAGGCAGAGCAAGCTGTGCCCGCCCCCCCTCTCCTGTCCGTTCCTTTTGTCAGCTCTGGAGGATCGGAGCGGGGAGGGGGGGAGCCGTGAGTGACAGTCACTGCTCTCTGCAGGGAGATGATCAAGAAGTGAGCATGTGACGGTATGTGCCCCCCTATGTCAAGAAGGTTGACCATCCCTGCCATTTGTGGAAGCAGTTGTGTTCCCAGAGCTGTAGCCTGCCCCTAAAAGTTCTTTCCCTGTGACACTAGTATTTTGTATATCTCATCTACAGATATTTAACTAGCAAGGATCAGTTCCATGCATACGTTGATGCCGATGGTAAAGAAGTCAAAGAAGAGCAGTGCGATAAAGACGCAGAGGACGATGACGGCAATAGTTTCTCAGCAGAGCCTGTTCCAAAAAAGATTAAGCTGGATGATTCTGCAAAGGAGTCAGAAGAGCGGAGTGATAAGACTGCAGAGAACAAGACAGAGAAGAAAAGAGCCAGAGGTCAGAACAAGAATCGCCCCCATGTGAAATTTTCCCAGTATGAACAGCAACGGTTGTGTCCATCAATTACGCAGGTGAGATATAAGAGAATTGTTTTACGGTGATTAAAAAGTATACATTTTATTCTGTAATGTGTCCCATTTAAAAATACATGAACATGATGTTTCTGATACAAAGCAGGGCAATGTTAAGGCGATATTTATAAATTTTGTGCGTTTTGTTTTTTAATGCGAAGCCGAAAAGAATGACAAACCGAATGAAAACGAAAAAAAAAGTGTAAATATTAATCGTAAAAAACAAACAAAAAAAATTTACAGAAAAGTAATAGCGAAGGGGAGGAAGGAGGTATATAAGTCTGATTGGGCTTACCTATGGGGGAATTAGGGGTTAAATAGGAATACATTTTATTTCACTTTTTATTTATTTATTTATTTTACCTGTAAGGTTTGTTTAACATGTCATGTGCAGATCAAAGATCACAAATGTGATCTACATATGAATGAAATAGTACTACAAAGTATCAATGCTTTGTTAACCTTTGTTACTAAAAGGGTCATTAAACCCTGGCATGTTTTGGCATATATCTACTGCTAGCATGCAGTAGATATATGCAAAACGATTAAAACAAAAAAACGTTTTCAAAGGTTTAAACTTACTTGCGTCTCCGCCGTGCGCTCCCATCCGAACATCTGAAAATGTATCGGGCGGCTGCAAAGGATCTTAGGGCGGACGCATGCGCAGTTCAGGTGTTCGGCCCGGGAGACGGGGAGAGACACAAGGTAAGTCTATGGAGCAGCGTGCACCCGCACAGACGCTGTGGGACATGAGCGAAGAGGAGGACAGAGGAGTCAGCGCTGGATCGGAGACCCGCACCAGCGCTGGAGGGACAGCTGAAAAGGACAGGAAAGAAGAAGATCGGATTAAGAGACTTCATTTAAGGTAAGTCCCTACAGCAGGATTGGGAAGGGGGGAAAAAAAGTTTGACTTTAATGTCTCTTTAATGACACTTGCAGACCATCTGCAAGTGTCATTTTGCACAAGAGCGGCTGCATTTTTACAGCTGCTGCTGGTATGTGATGCAAAGTAATTTCCCCCTTTCATATTCAGAACCTGTAATTGCAGATAATAGCAATGCATGGAGTGACCGCAGGAGTGCTGAATGTGGGAGATGAACTCCAGAAACTTTGTTGACATTTTTTAGGGCTTCTATCTTGTTCTCGGGGTCCTGAAGTTGTTAATGTTCCCAAAGGAGTTGTATAGACACACACAAAATATTCTCAGGTGGATGCTAAGGATTAAAAGGGAATTCCATGCAAAAGAAAAAGAATCTTCCTTTTGATTTAGACATAATCGGTGTTTACCTTTCATATTATACGTTATATGTTTATTTCCCTATGCATGAAACAAATGTACCTTTTCATCATGCACACCTCTCATCCCTATTTCCATATGAGGGCCAACAACACTATATTGCCGCATAGGAATGACATTTCCTATTAGGTGAAGCTAGTAGAGGGGAAGTCGGTTGTTGGGGAACATTGGTTGTTCCTGGGCCCTGAAAAACGCTGTGAACCACTGTAGTTGCTGTGGCTATTACATCATTTTACAGGTACAAAATATGTATACTTGTATTGGGTCAAACTGGACCAATGTATTATTACTGACTGCCTTTAGGCGATCCCTTAAGACTCATCTCTTCATGAAGCCTATCCCACCTCACCCTAACCACTGAACTATCACTTTCTCAAACAATTCATCCCCACACAGATAATAAATTATTATTATACAGGATTTATATAGCACCAACAGTTTGCACAGCGCTTTACAATATAAGGAAGACATTCCAATCACAATACAATTCAAGACAGGATGGTAAGGAGGGCCCTGACCCTGAGGGCTTACAATCTAAAAGGGAGGGGGGAAGTGATACATGAGGAGGTGGGGGGGTAACGGTCGTCAGGGCACTCATGGAATAGGGAACAGTCATATATGAACAGATACCCTACTCAACCAGTAAGGAACATATGACAAACATTAAAATTCCAGGTAGTATTGAGAGCAGACCACTATTATCGGATTAGACGGAGAAGAAGAGAGGAAATAAGCCATGTGCACTTTATATCAACAAGATAGATTTCTTTCTCCGTGTCATCTCCCAAATAGGTTTAGTTCTTCAGATCTCAAGAAAGATTTACTTCTCCTCCTCCTCTTGCTATAAATTTCCTCTTCACTTACAGCAAATAAGAAAGCACTCCAATCCTCAAGTGTGCACCCCTTCCTGCACTCCGCAATACTTAAAAGCAAGATACTCATGTGAGATAGATTTTGAGATCTCCCATTGTGTAGTATTTTCATAAAAATTTATTGAAAAAACAAAGTACACTAACAAAGCAACGAAGCAAAAAAAATGTTTTTTATTGGGTACAGCGCAATACAGATTTGACCTAGGAGGATGTCCAGCGGATGAACGCATTTCTATGGGGTATATTACCACCATGGCATTTGATGAAGTGGATTGTATCGTAACTCTGCCCATTTCTTTTTAAAACCAGGAATGTGCCAGCAAGTGCTTCTTTGGCGAGAAATGTAAGTTCTTGCACGACGTGGAGAAATATCTGTCGGAGAAGCAAGAAGACATCGGTCCCAAGTGTCACCTCTACGAGACATTCGGCAAATGCATCTACGGGATCTCATGCCGCTTTGCCAAATCCCATTTGGGAGAGGGTTATAAGAACCTCATCAACCAGGAACTGGTCAAGCAGTGGGAGGGCAAAGTCCTTGTTAGGAACGGAGTGAGCAAAGACCTCCAGGTGCAGTTGCGGAAGAAGAAGGTCCAGTTTGACAAAGCTGACCAGATCCTGAAACTTTTGAACAAACCTCAACAGCCTAAGAAGGTGGAACCTGATGCTGTGCTTCCCTCAGCAGAACACAGTGTGACGACGGACAGTTCCGGTCATCAACCGAATGTTCCTCCTAGCATTGACTGTGTTAAGCAGGTTACAGGTGACAGTGGAATGAAAACTGTAACTGCGACATCAGGAGCTCTAACAGATGAAGACATTATAAAGCTTAGACCTTGTGAGAAGAAAAAGGTATTTATATCGCACATAAATCGATATTTATTTTTGTATCTTGTAGCCCTGTGACAGAGTTGAAAGCTTATTTCCAAACCAGGGCTGTCATTAGTAATTATGAACAGCCTACCTGACAGAGGGCCCTTCCCCTCAACTTTGGCAGGTAGGCGTCCCCAAACTGAGCCATGGACATGGTGAATCTTTCATTCTTCTGCTCCTGTAGCGTGTAGCAGAGGAGTGCTGCCAATCCCAGGAGCTGTCAACTGATATTTTTCCAGGCTGAGGGCTGTGGTCACGTGCCTGCCCATCAATCCCGTTACTGAGAGAAAGTTGTGTTTAGCCAGCCCGGCAGTCAGAGGAGCAACGACTAGGGGCGAGGAAACCCTCTGCACTTTGGAAACCCTTAACGTTACTATTAGGGATGCACCGATACCGTTTTTTTGGTATCAAGTACGAGTACCGATATTTTGCTTACGTCTTACACACTCCTAAACCTTGTGGACACCTTCCCAGAAGAGTTGAAGCCGTTATAGTGGCAAAGGGCGGGCCAACTCAATACTGAACCCTACTGACAAAGACTGGGATGCCATTAGAGTTCATGTGCGTGTAAAGGCCGGCGTCCCAATACGTTTGGTAATATATATAGTGTGTGTGTATTTATACTGTGTGTGTGTTCTGGTATGAGTATATCTCTTTCTTGCTCATATGTTTAACCAATTTGTGATTTCTGTTCCCCTCCAGATTGATTTCCGAAATAAACTGTACCTTGCACCATTAACCACAGTGAGTATTCAAGGCTCCATATCTTCAAAGTTTTCTAACAATTTCTCATTGCCCATAGCAATCAATCAGCTTCCAGCTGCCCGTTCTGTGGTATAGAGTAGAAAATGAAATAATTCTGATTTTTGCTACAAACATTTCTTGTTCGCACGCTTTTCATGAGACCAGAGCGTCCCTCAGACCAGGGTAAAGGATTGGGAAAGTAAAGATGTGCTATTTCCCAGACGAGGATCACAACCGTCTCTGCACTTGTGTGAGAGTTGGTAGATATTTCCCTGTCATCATGGACGGTCCTTATTCTGTAATTTGTAGTTGTGTCAATCAGATTGTCACCTCGTTTCCCCCAGTGCGTTATTGAATACAGGCCATGAGAGCAATTGTTCCTGCAGAATCTTTAATAGAAAAAAATTGGCCAAAGACATAATCTAATTGTAGAAGGTCTAAATAGTGAGCTTCAGACTTGAATGGTACAAAAAAATATGTAATGTATTGTATGATGAAGAGAGAGTCTGTAAGGTATTTGGCCAGCTTTGCTTTGCTGCAATGTAAATGCATGTGTTCATTTTAGGGCCTGGCAGGGCTGATACAGGTAGCCCTCAATTTACACTGAGGTTTGGTTCCTGAAGGAATGGTTTTGAATAGAAACAGGTGTAAATTGAAACCCCGTATATAAAGTCAATGGGAAGCGAGGTAGTTATGTTCCAGATTTTTCTCAAAATTTACATAAGAAATAAAATGTTCCTGTGTTATGTTTCTTAATTCAATTTATGTCAATGAGAGAGGCTTGGAACCAAACTTCCTCACTTTCCACCGACTTACATTTTTTACTGGGTTTTAGTTTATACCAGTTTCTATTTAGAACCATTCCTTGTTTTGAGAGAGGCCTGGAACCTAACTCCCTCACTTCCCATTGACATGCATTATATATTTGGTTTCAATTTACTACACTGCAAGAAAAGGGTGCTGTCATAAATCAATGCAGATTGAACGTTGTAAACCGAGGGCCACCTGTATATCGTTCTGTTGCAGAGGATTGTCCTGAGCTTTTAATTTGTGCTTGTGTTGTTATAATACTGACCTGCTTGTGTCCTGTGTTCATTGTACAGTGTGGCAATCTCCCATTTAGAAGAATATGCAAGCGGTTAGGAGCAGACATCACATGTGGCGAGATGGCCATGTGTACAAACCTCCTCCAGGGTCACTGTTCTGAATGGGCGCTGGTGAAGAGGCATCACAGCGAGGACCTCTTTGGAGTACAGGTGCGTAATTCTAATCAAATACAATTGCAGTGATAATGCCGGTCATAACAGCACCTCATTTTATGATCCGTCCACTTACAGATGGGGGCTGAGGGACCAGCAAGCTTTTTATATCTAAAGCAGCAAGACCTTCCTACTAGGGATGCACCGATACTGTTTTTTCGGTATCGAGCACCAATTATTATTTTCCCGGTACTCGCCGATACCAAGTACCGGTGCCATGTGTCCCGATTATCAGGAAGTCGGGCGGCGGATCATGACCCATCAGCCGGCTTCCTGATTGCCTGTGAAGTTGGTGTTCTAGCGAAAGAACACCAGCTTCACTTGCCGAGGCTGCCTGGCTTCCTGACCATTCAGAAAGCCAGGCGACGAGTCATGAGTTGCCATTCGTATTCCTGATTGGTCAGGAAGCCAGGCTTCATAGCCAATCAGGAAGCCAGCTGGCACGTCTTGACCCTCCTCCGAGCTTCCTGATTAGCTAGGAAGCTGGCTTCACTTGTTGGTAGGCAGCCTGAATTCCTAACCAATCAGGAAGCCGGGACTCGAGTCATGACATGCTACCTGGCTTCCTAATTGGTTAGGAAGCCAGGCTGCCTACCAACAAGTGAAGCTGGCTTCCTAGCCAATCAGGAAGCCCGGAGGTGCTTCCTGATGGGAAAGGAAGACGGCTCCATGCTGCCTCTGCACTGCATTGAAGTTCCGTTATCGGAGGTAAGTATCGGAGCATTTGGGCTAATATGAGTACTCGGTATCGGCACTGATACTAATATCGGTACGTTGCATCACCGACTTCCTACCATAGCACCTGGCTGTATTTTACCTAACATTTCCCCGTAGTACTTTTAAAAAAAAGTTTCTGCCACCGCTTGTCCAATTAAAGTGTGTATGAACTGCAGGTAGAGCGGGTCAAATGCTGTGCTTTCCGTTCATATGCATGTACCTGCCCTCGAACTGAAAACAAGAGCGTCTGTCAACATGAACCCTTAGATCCAGTATTGAGTTTGTGTCCTCTTATTTTTATGTTTCTAAAAATATAACATCTGCTTTCTCATCCAATCTCATTGCAGCTAGAGGGTTCCTTCCCTGACACCATGACCAAATGTGCCGAGCTGCTGAACAGGACCATCGATGTGGACTTTGTGGATATCAATGTCGGGTGTCCAATAGATTTGGTGTACAAAAAGGTAGACTTTTCCTGGTGCGGCTTTATTAATACTAGCAGGGGGTGCTTGTTCCTTGAACGCATAATACAAGATGGTGGCATTAAGGTGTATCACAAAAAATGAGGGATGTAATGAAATCTTTGATGCATTGTTTGAACTGTTATTGCAACGTGTATTGTCACAGAAGCGGAGATAGTTATGTCCTAAAATTACAAACCATAGATCCAATGGGAACCTTTAAGAGCTGTGCACATTCATATGTACTGGTTCTCTGTACTGGAGTAAACAATGCACGTTAGACAGGCAGTAAACATTAAGAGATAAATAAATCTGTTTTCTTCACAGTGAGGTTTACAGAGATATTCCATGTTACGTGTGTTAAATATATAACACCTCTGATCGCCTATGTTCCCTCCTATGGTCAGATAGGCACACATTTGCTAAGACGTGTGTATGGCAGGGGTGGTACAAGAGGAGCAGCAGGCAAAGTGTGTACCTGGCTGCAAAGGATGTGAAAGGAGCAAGTAGAAATTTCAAAGCACACATGTAGAGTTCCAGACGAAGAAGGTGGACAGGAAGTGTGTGCTGGGTATGGTGTATGAATGTGTTCTGGGTATGGTGCATGCTGCTTTGTTGTGTGTCCATGTCCGATATGTTGTGTGTCTGTGTGTGTATTTGCATATGTTTGGAATTGTGTATCTGCTTTGTGATGTGTGTTTTGTGTGTGTAGGTATGAGGTATGGAGAACACACAAAAGAAGCACGGCTCCTCCATGGCTCAGGAAAGGAATGGGTCGGGTGCTTGCTCCTGGGAGCACGTCCTCGCTCCAATATGAACCCATACAAACAGAAGAAAAGCTGGCCGCACACCTGATTCCTCTGGGATAGTTTGTTGAAGCTTGTACCACATCACTGGTGTCCCGCCCAAGGTCCAACCCTCTGACGCATTTTTAACAAATCACGGGCTTAGTCGTAGAGATACTGATATACTATACTATACTCTATGACTAAACCTGTGACTGGGTGAAATGGGAAGGGGCAACCTTGGTGAAATCTGATGTGCGGCCAGCATTTCTTGTGTTTTGTATAGGTATGTATGCTGCTTTTTGATGTGCGTGCGCATGTTGTATACTGGGATAAGTGGACTCCAACAGAGACCCATGGAGCTGTTATTTTTTCAATATAAGGGATGTTTAGAGAATTTGGGGTTATGGTTTGTACTAATATAAAACTCTTTCTTGATTTAATGCTTTCTTCCTTCCTAGGGTGGCGGTTGCGGATTAATGACCAGAACTAATAAATTTGAAGCCATTGTAAAAGGAATGAATTCGGTAAGTTCGAGGAGGAGGAATATCTGGAGAATGTCTCTTTCTATATAAATGGAAGACTCTTTCTATGTGTGCATCTGTATGAAAATATGAATTAAAGAGGGATTTGTAGTATGATAATGTAAAATATATCTATGTCTCTTCTCTTATTGAAAAAATATAGTGTACTTTTAGTGAATACTCATTATTATTGTGTTACAAGCTATTCTGAGCACAGTAGTAAGGTACGTGCGTAGACTTTAATAGCAGGATATTAAATGATATATACACCCAAGCAACTAAATCATAGGAGGCGCATGCCCCTCAGTCACCCGTTGCGGAGCCAGTGCCTCTTTGGATTTTCCGTCAGCAAGTGCAATGCTAAATGGAAGTCCGCAAACACCATATTACAGAAGCAGCCTCTGTTATTTGTTTGTTAAACAAAGTTTAAAAAAAAAAAAAAAGAAAACCTTTCAGTTGTAGAGTTGTTAACACCGCCATGTGCCTTTACACTTGGCTAGCTTTACCTCTATAAACTGCAATATCTAAATATCCAGAGACTACAGTGAGAATTTGCATCCTTCCCCCACGTGATGTCTTGGTAGACAGCTTCACTTTTATGGCCAAAAGTATGTAGACCTTCCAAATGACCGAGTTTGGGTGCTTCCAGTGAAGGGTATTGTTAATGCTACAGCAAACAAAAACATTTAACAATTATTCACTTCCAACCTTGTGGTCTGAGGAAGGCCCTTTTCTGTTCCAGCATGACTGTGCCCCTGTGCACAGAGCCATCTCCATAAAGACATGGCTTGATAAGTTTGGTGTGGAGGAACTCGAGTGACCTGCACAGAGCCCCTGGCCTCCCGATTGAACACCTTTGGGATGAATTGGAACACCGATTGTGAGCCAGGTCTTCTCATCCAACAACTTGAACTGATTTCACAAATGCTCTTTTGGCTGATTGGGCACAAATTCCCACAGGCACACTCCAAAATCTTGTGGAAATCCTTCCCAGGAGAGTGGAGGCTGTAACGTCAATGGTGGGGAATGAAACTTCATATTGATGTCCAACAGGCTCATATAGGTGTGATGGTCAGACATCCACAAACTTTTGGCCGTATAGTGTATATGTGCTGCTGCTCCTCCAGTGCTTGGATACCTGAGAGATCATGGACATAACAGATTATATGACCAGCAGGCCCCACTTCTGCTGGAATAACACTTTAGGATCTGCTGGAATAACACTTTAGGATCTGCTGGAATAACACTTTAGGATCTGCTGGAATAACACTTTAGGATCTATGTGCTGAAATGATTAATCACCATGTTGGTTCTTACAACGAGAACATAACCCCCATCATTTTATTTTTGCAAACAGCTTTGAGAATCTAAAGCATATATTTTCCACTGTCTTATCTCTAGGTTCTGGACGTTCCACTGACTGTGAAGATCAGGACTGGAGTCCAAGAGAAAACCAGTCTGGCTCATAAGCTTATCCCAGAACTGAGGGAATGGGGGGTCTCTCTGGTCACCGTGAGTTCAGATATTCTATAATATTTACAGCTTGCATGGTGGTGTACTCGGGTTTTTAATTCCACAGCTGCAGGCAAACGGCTAAGTGAGACAGTCTCGGGTCCCCGGCACCGCTTTCAGACAGCTTCTCCCTAAGACCTTTCTTCAAATTTCACTGCGTTTGAGCAATACAGCCTGGTCCAGGACCCACCCACCGCCACCTGTGATTGGATGATATATTTTTTTAAGAATGCATAACTGGCTTATATGGTGGCCTGTTATATTGTCCTGGATTTTAGCTATAAAAGCCAACTCAAAGCTTATGGTGGACTTTGGTGGGTTGAATCACCTATTGGCCTGTTCTCCACTAGTGAGATTCCACTGAACTGGTTTGTGTATCCCACAAGATCACAGCCAAGGTAACACTGTATTGTAGCTAAAGTCCTAAATGATTTGTTCTGCAGCATATGAAATTATGAAGCGTTTGTTTTTTCATTTAGTTGTCCTTTTTGAACAGCCAGCCACTAACTGGCATCTGTAGGAATCTGATTGCCTACACTTGAAGTGTTTTTATCACAGTGCGGCCTTACTGTCTTTATTTACGTGTATTCTCTCCCTGTAAGGATAAAAGTGTCAGGCTGTAAGATCCCCCATTCAGGGGCATAACTAGAAATCACAGGGCCCCATAGCAACATTTTGTATGGGGCCCTGTGATTTCTAGTTAGGCCCCTTGCAGAGCCCACCTGAATATGACCCTGCAGAGTCCACCATAGACTCTATGGTGGCCTCTGCATGCTCTCAGGTGGGCTGGTCACACCCCTGCACACCTCTTACCTCTCAGCCCCGATACACTGTCAGCCTTCTCTACCACCAGGCCCCACCTCCCCCACCGTTACCCGGCCTGGCATCTTCCTCCTCCTCCTCCACCACCGCTGGGCCCCGCCTCCTCCACCGCAAGCTGCTGGCTGTCACTGACTCAGCAGCGGCTGTGAAGAGAAACACGCCGCTGCACAGATCACTGACACGTTGTCAGTGATCTGGACAGCGGCGTGTTCCTCTTCCAGCCACCAGTGACGGCCAGCAGCCTGCGATGCCATAGCGACCCAGGCGGCCCGCACAGCATGAGGGGGACCCCTTTGTTCCTTGTCCTGGCCGGTGCCCCGGGCCCCATAGCAGCCGCCTGGGTCGCTATGGCGATAGTTCCATCACTGCCCCCATATTGTGTCTTTCATCTCCAACCGGAGTTCAGTGCCAACAGACATCATCATGTAACAAAGGTGCTGTCATCATTACATGAAGGAAATGTAAGGCTTTCCTTAATTAAATGTTAGTCTCCTCGAGAAGCCCAGAGAGAGAGAGAGTGTGCATATGAGTTTTAGATGTCATCCCTGAGCTCTGGCAGGAAGCAGATCAGACTCCATGGCCTTACAGCCTAACCCTGGTCTAATATTTCTGTTTTGATGGGAAGAGAATACAAGTGTCTAGCATACCCTAAACTCATCCCAGTGGTAAGGTTGCACTATTATAACAACATAAATTATATGTATACCCAGTCACTAAAAAACTGGGTAAGCTTTTACATGTTTCAGACTTGTTGGCCATCATCAACGCTGAACATAAAAACAATTGCCTCTATGGAATAGGGCTTCACATGTCTATATATACATTTCTCTGCTTGTCACATAAAAACATTTTTGTAGAATAATCTTTAGATTTGTAGTTCAGCAACATGACCCCAAACCAGGTGGTAGAATGTATTTCTGGGGTCTCAAAATGCTGAATTACCTGTAGAATTAGAGTGGGAAACCTGCATTTTGACAGCTGGAGGAATGCCAAATGAAGCGCTTCTGGTCCACTGCAAATCATATTTGATCTCGGGTTGCAAATCCCATTTTATGTTTTGTATTCTTTCCTTTCAGCTTCATGGCAGATCCCGAGAGCAGCGCTATACAAAGCTTGCAGACTGGGATTATATTAGTCGCTGTGCCAAAATTGCAGACCCTCTACCTTTCTTTGGTAAGTGATAACTCCACGTGTTCCAGCCGCTGGTAAACCTCTACCGACGGCCCTGTAAGAATTTATAATCACAGAGGCATGACATAGGCTTCTCGATCTTGTGCTCACTGTGATCGGCTGTCACAGTGATCACGTGTTTGTGAGTCCAACCTACCGGCTTTCGATTGTCACTGTGTGACTGGGTGCTGCTGGGGACAACATGGTCACAGCTCTGGGGGCGCGCAATTGAGCACACTCTCAGCACGCAACACAGGTACATATATGTCTCGGTACAGAATAAACCTCTTGCTGACAGTATCTTTCAGTTTGTCCATTCAGGTTGTCTTGTTAGGCAACGGCCACTGATGCAGCCTTAACCTCCCACCCATTCCAGAACTTTGTTCCTTTGTTGAAGATCCATGCTTTGTGTTGGTCATTGGCCATTTATATAGAATTAATGACCACCTCCCCCGCATGACAGTTTTTTGGCTTGGCTATTGGCCACCTAGACCCAAGTACTGCATCTCCTGGGAGGAAGGGCGTCATAAAACCGGGAGGACGGAACATCTCGTAGTAGAATGGGATTACTGCGGCAGACGGTGCCAGGGAGGGGGGCACAAAAAAACGGCTTTAAATGCTATAATTGATTGAGGAGGAAGTTCCACTATAAGCTCTTAATATGAATGCTTGCTTTACAGGAAATGGTGATATATTCTCCTTTGAGGATGCCAATCGAGCGATGCAGACTGGGGTTTCAGGAATCATGCTGGCAAGGTCAGTACTCCAGTAGAGAGAGTATAAGAACCTCCATCATCATTTACTGATATGAATAAATTTACGTTTCATCAGCTTGTTTATGCCAAAGATTTTAAATCCATTTATAGCCACCCGCTGTTTTTGTTAGAACTTTATTGAATTGTCACAAGTGACATTTTATTAAGTGCTATGGGCACATCATGTTGCGATGCGGTTGCACCACGTCTCTCTTTGGTGCGCCTAAACAAAGTTTCCCCAAAAAATAATGCAAGACTTTTTAAACATAATAATGCCGTACTTTTTTAAGCGCACATACCCTGTTTACCCCCAAAAATAAGACCTAGTACTATTTTTGGGAATTTCTAAAATATAAGACCTACCCCGAAAATAAGACCTAGTTGTGACCGTTCCCAGGGCCGGTGGTGGCATAAGGGGGACCTTGAAGAGACCCGGGAGAGGCAGGAGAGAATCGGCGGTGCCAATGAAGCCAGCGCTAGAGGAAGCGAGGCGGCACCGGAGGGAGCAGAGCCGCATAAGCCGAGTGATACCAAATGCACTCCGCCTGTGAGGAATCGATAGTAAAAGTGCGCTTCGCTCATTCTGGCCAGCGATTGGTTAGCAAATTGTTTTTGTACATGAATACATGTAGACTTTTCTATATGAATAAGTGTGGATTGTTGTACATAATAAAAAAAAAATAAGACCTACCCCGAAAATAAGACCTAGTGTGTTTTTTTGAGCCCCAAAAAATATAAGACAGTCTTATTTTCGGGGAAACACGGTATTTAGCGAAATAGCCTCCAGTAATTTATTTATTATTGGTATTTATATAGCGTGATGTCAGCATGATGTCACACACACACAATCCTTTTTCAAGTTGTCAGGTCCTCAGCTGCATATAATCTAATTTTTCAATGCAAAGAAATTAGTGATTTTTCATCCTCATAGTTCGAGCCAACGTGTGACATTGAAACTGTCACATGTCAGCTCTATTGATCGGGAAGTGAGCGAACACATACCGCCAATCTGCTCACTTCCCGATCACCTCCCTGCAGAGCGCGCTGACTGTCAGTCACCGCTCCCCGCAAGGTTTCCCCCTCCCCTCTCCCATCCTCCAGCGCTGACTGGAGGAACGAATGGGGAGGAAGCGGGCACAGCTGGCTCTGCCTCTAGATAGGCAGAGCCTGCTGTCAATCAGCCAGCTGGGAGCTGGGTGGACCTAGACAGTATTACCACGATCCGTCCCGGCTGTGGCGCTCTCAGTATATTGCGGGCAATAGCTATATACTGAGCTTTGGGTCACGGGAGGAGGTTAGTACATGTCCTCCTGTGACCACGAAGAGAACTATGGGATAAAAAGCTTACCCCACAGTTCTCTTTCAATAGTGCTTACTCTGAGTTCATTGCGAGTTTCCCCCAATGTGCGTTAGAAGCTGCAGCAAATAAGATAGAACTCATCTCATTTCCTAGATAGAGGACATCCAGCATCATCTATCCTATTCCACCCCGACCTGACTGTTCCTAGGCCGCTCCTTTGATTCATTGAATTTCAGTTCTTTCAATCATGGAGGCTCAACATCACATGTGGGCATTACTTAGGGTGGTCAACATGCACATGCAGGCTGCCTAGGAACGCCCACTCCTCCAGGCTGACATCCACCCATTAAGACATTTTGATATTTGCATAACTCCTCCCAAAAGCCAGCCCACTGCTTGCTTTAAGACCCGAGGGCTCTTGAGAGGAGTACTGTGGCAGGGTCCTGTCTTCAGGAAGCTATGTACCTGCTCCTCCCTCCAGCTATGATTTGCCTTCCATTGCATAGAAACCCGTGATGATGTCACTGGGACAAAAATAAGGCATGCAATGAAAATATTTTAATTAAGAAATGTATTTGCATGTCAATGAAGGGGGAGGGAGGAACCAGGGAAGGCACAATATGAGCATATTAAACTTTTAGCATTAACTGGTTGCTTTTATTATTTTCAATAATTCCATTTAAAACCAATAGCTCCCATTACCATTATATCTTGAGCTCTTCTGTAATTGTACACCTGTTGTAGTTAATGGTGAGTGATAAATGTGTGAGGTCACATGACCAGCCCATGGAATGTGTGAGGTCACATGACCAGCCCATGGAATGTGTGAGGTCACATGACCAGCCCATGGAATGTGTGAGGTCACATGACCAGCCCATGGAATGTGTGAGGTCACATGACCAGCCCATGGAATGTGTGAGGTCACATGACCAGCCCATGGAATGTGTGAGGTCACATGACCAGCCCATGGAATGTGTGAGGTCACATGACCAGCCTATGGAATGTTGGAGGTCACATGACCAGCCTATGGAATGTTGGAGGTCACATGACCAGCCTATGGAATGTTGGAGGTCACATGACCAGCCTATGGAATGTTGGAGGTCACATGACCAGCCTATGGAATGTTGGAGGTCACATGACCAGCCTATGGAATGTTGGAGGTCACATGACCAGCCTATGGAATGTGGGAGGTCACATGACCAGCCTATGGAATGTGGGAGGTCACATGACCTAGCTGTGTGCCCCCTTTGGTTCACCAATATTCTCCCCTTCTTCTGGTTGCAGAGGGTCGCTGGTAAAGCCCTGGCTATTCACAGAGATTAAAGAGCAGAGGCACTGGGACATTTCCTCCTCAGAGAGATTCGACATTCTTCAAGAATTCACCAATCACGGCCTAGAACACTGGGGTTCGGACATTCCAGGGGTGGAGAAAACCAGACGGTTTATGCTGGAGTGGCTCTCCTTCCTCTGCAGGTATGAAAGTACAATTTACTCATACTGAAGAATATGTATTGTGCACCCATCGTACGTTTTTCCTATTCTCACTCACCATTCCTTCACGAGGAGGTTCCTGTTGCATCTCTTCGGCCGCCATGTTGGGATTGGCGTGCTCGTCGGCCGCGGATTCCAGGAGGGCTCTCCTCGCCCTTTGCGGGCGTTCCACATACTTGTCCATGTGGAGCAGATGTTCCGCATCTCGTGGGGCCGAAATTGCGGTCTCGGGGCTGCGAGGGTGTCGGTTGTTGGAGCGGTGACGGGACGAGGGACTGAGAGGTGCCGCTACAGCATCGGGCGCCGGAACCGGAAGTTAATGTGTTTTTTAATACAGCTAGAATCCGTACCTCTTTGTTTATATTAGCTTATTGTATTCCCCAGCACAGGTGTAGGGCCAAACGTGTCAGCCAATCAGGCTCTGTTTTACTACACAGTGTTGTCAGGTTAGCACTTGTTGACTGCAGGAGTGAGCAGAGTAAGGAATGGACCTTTATTGTCCAGTCAGCAGCTGGGCGCGGGGGAGTGGCCAAGATGCATTATTTATAAGAAACCGGTCATGAGGGAAATGCGTATGCCACCATTACTGACCTCCCTCTGAAAATGCTAGCGTCCTGCGTGCAATGCTGATCCTCTGGCATCAATAGTTTTTGTGTCGCTGACCAGAAATACTAACTTTTGTTGGCTGCTTCCTTCCCAGGGGGTCAGGATTGCAAGCATTTTCAGATGAAGGGCGATAGTCAGGTTTAATTGAACTGTGTAGGAAGTTGGACACCTGGCCAGGGCCCGGCCTTAGGCCTTTAGGCGTCCTGTGCGAGAAAGCTATACAGCGCCCCTCAGTGACCACACCCCTCAGTGGCCACACCCATTTCCCCCCCAATATCCGCACCATTTAAAGACTCCCATTTTGTTAAGCCCCAAAGAAACATATTAAAAAGTATGATCAAAATCAAACTTTTATTCAAAGATATTAAACTTGTCGGCACAATAGAAGTATTCTTATTAAATAAAACAACAGAAGGTAAACAATAAATGTCAAACTACAATAGAGTCTGTAAAAATAAAGTGTCAGGTTGTCATGCCGATCCCTTTTTTTCAAGTAAGTATATCTAGAAAAGTAAAAATATAAAACAGAACACAAAACCCGGACTACGTGTAAAATGAATGAATTACTATATGTCCGAATATACGACAAATGTATTCAGGCACATAATCGTTTGTTTGAGAATGTGCGGCGGCCATGTTGGCCACTGGCGCGTTCTGCGAATGCGTGCCACCATCTTGGAGGCAGGGAGCATGATGTCACATGACGCCATGCATGCGTGATGTCAGGTGACGTCACACGCCGGTATAGGCGCCGCAATCTTGGTGTATACCTAGATATACACCAAGATGGCGACGCCCAACACGTGCAGGGTTATATGACGTCATGCGCCCTGCCTCCAGAACACGCCAATGGCTGAATCCAAAATAGCAGAAAAATGTGTTTTGTTTGATGTAACGAATTAAAATGTTTTTAGTTTTCATTCATTTAATCTGATATTAATGTTTAGTCTTTGCACTTGTCTAATAATATGTGTGTGTGCCGGGGGAGGGGGGTAATTCTCACTTTTTTTAAATCTTTTAAATTATTTTTTTTTCCATTATTTTTTTTTTTTTTACTGTTGGGGGGCTACGGTGAAATATTAGGGGTCTAAACAGACCCCTGACATTTCCCTTTTAAAATAGAAAAGAAATTGAGGACACAATTTCTTTTTCTGCAGCCTCAGCATTCAATGAATGGGAAGCATTCAGTGCAGAGACTTCCCATTCATTCAGAAACTGCTGATAGTAAATATTTTTTTCTATCACCAATTTCTGAATGGGGAGGAGCCTCTGTAGTGAGTGCTACTCTCCATTCAGAAATTCATAAGTGAACAGGAAGTGATATAAATCACATCCTGTTCATTCATAACTGGGGACACATAGTACTATGTGTCCCCAGTTATTTGCAAACATTGGAGTGATCAGACGATCACTCCAGTGTTTGTTCCGCACACACAGAGGATCGGTAAATGTCACAGATATTTACCGATCCTCCGCTCGGCCATGCACACAGCCCCTGTCATCCTGAAACTGACAGGATGACAGCGGGTAAGGAGAGGAGCCGCAGGCTGTAGCCGCCCCGAGGATGAGCTGTGTCGGCCGCCTGGCGCCCTTGTTGCCATGGCGCCCTCTGCGGCCACACAGCTCAAACACACCAAAGGGCGACCCTGCACCTGGCTGTCTTGTGTGGCAGGGTATTACAAGATTGGCCGAACAGAACAGTTTAGTTTGGTATCAGTGACTCTGACCTTCGTTTATCTGGCATAGCTATGAATTTTAGCATAGGAATACATAAAGTCATAGTTCACCTTTTTAAGACTGACCCTGTTTCCATACTTATGGCAATGCAAATCACGTCCACCAACAAGGTGTGTTGGGGTGCCATTTAGTTCTTCTTTAATTCCTGTTTTTTGGATGCAGGTACATTCCTGTTGGCTTACTGGAACGCCTGCCTCAGAAGATCAATGACCGCCCTCCCTACTACATGGGGAGAGACTACATGGAGACATTAATGGCGAGCCAGAATGTGGGAGACTGGATTAAGATCAGGTAAGTAGTTTTGGAGCACTTGACCATCTTCTTTAGTTTCCATATCAGCAGCAATCTGAAGTATACAGTCACATCCCTTCCATTAGTGACAATGGTGTCCATCTAAGAGCTAGGAAAGCATTTTTTGGATAGCTTGAGTATTTATATATTTTTTGCTGTCTGTGTGCAGTTGGGGAGATTTCCAATGACATTTTGTCGCAAATGCACAACAGGATGAAAAAAAAACTCTAAAAAGGAAACCCCCTCTTTGTCACTAGAGCAGGTGCCCCCACTTTACATAGTTACATAGTATTTGAGGTTGAATAAAGACACAGGTCCATCAAGTTCAATCTTTGTGTGTATATGAATCCCTGTGTGGTCTAGTTTTTAACAGTACCTGTCCCCCTGTATGTTACAGTCTCTAATTGATTTTTGAATGATTCAATACGCTCAGCTGATATCACTGCTTGTGGCAGAAAGTTCCAAAATGTAACCACTCTGACTGAAAAGAAGCCCCTACGCCCTTTATGGATAAATCTTTTCTCCACCAGTTTTAGGTGGTGGCCTCTAGTCTTTGTTATGGAGTTTACCGTAAAAGGTTTATTGCTGATTTTGCGATCACCACTAAACATTTTTAACATTAAAATCATGTAGAATCTCTAGAAGGGAAGCTCTCCACTCTCGAGATTCCTGTTCTAGTGGTAACAAATGTATGATTTTCTCTCACTGTCTTTTCCACTGGTACCCAGGGCTTACATAGGGGGTGAATGTCTCTAGAGGGCACACAGACAGCAATAAAATAAAAGCCTGGCAAAGGATTTAGCACTCCTCCTTCCTTGGGGTACGAACCTCATGCAACACTCAGTGTGTCTTCATTGGAAGTTCATTGCAGACAGTTAGCAGTGCTATCCTTTGAGCACCATGCAGCGTAGGTCTATAAAATAGAACTTTGGCCAAACCGTTTTGGACTTCAGTTCTCTTTTGGGTCACAGGAGCACATTTACTGTTGTCCTCCTGTGACCCAAAACTCAGCATATAGCGGGCTATTGCCCACTATACTGTATGCTGACAATGCTGCAGCAGGGAAAGATCCTCTCTCGAGGCAATGCCAGCTATGCCCGCCACCCTCCCCTGTCTTTCCCTCTTGTCAGCGCTGGAGGAATAGAAAGAGAGGGGAGGGGTGGATCATTGCGAGGAGCCCCCACCCAGCTCCATCAGCCTAATGTCCAGGCAAATCTGTTTGTTTATACTGTATGCTAGATGATGGAACATTAAACCACTTGATAGTTTCTCATGTCCCTCAGTGATTCCAGTATTGCCGTCTCTGTGTTTGTGTTTCTAGATCTGGAACACAAGATCTGGCTGCAGCCATTCTGCATGGATCCTTATCTGCCAGATAGATATGTCATTTATTTTCTATCAAGAATAATATCTGTAAAAAAATAAGTCAAGGCAACTGGACTTGCTGTATTTTTCTTGGACGTTTCACTGGTCATGCGACCAGGCTTCTTAATTCAGAATGACTTCTTCAAAAATTATCTGGAAATAAATATGGTGAATGTTGCTCCAATCAACATAATCATGACGCTAAGGTGTTGATTTCATTTGCATAATTGGAGCTAGCAGGTGTTTTTCTCTTCAAGAAAAATACAGCAAGTTCAGTTGCCTTGACTTATTTTTACAGATATACCATGTGACCTGGATGAATGAGATCCTTCACCGACATATCAAGAATAATGCAACGAGAGGACTATGAAGTCCCTTGCTGTAGCAGGAGTTGTGAGACTCCAATGGGGGCAGCAGCATTGCTGGAGAACTTGGCACTGACTGTTGGGTTGCATCACTTTTTTTTAAATCATTGTGTGTTTCTATTTTGTTGCAGTGAGATGCTGCTGGGACCCGTTCCTCCGAACTTCACCTTCCTCCCAAAACACAAAGCAAATTCATACAAATGAGTCCTTTAATTTCGAAAAATTGACCGGCGGATGGATGTTTATTTTTATAAATCAATTAATTTAATGACTGTAAAGTACATTGTATTTGTTCCGTTAGAACCAAGCTGAGGTACAGCCTTGGGAGAATGCGTGTTTAGGAATGGATATAAGTGTATGTAAACCCAGCAAGACAAATTAAAGTCCATCTAAAGCCTAAAGTTTGTTTTTTCCCCTTTGCAGTGATAAACAGGCATTTAATGCAACTCGGCATGTTAAATGTCTTCAAAAATATATAATTTACCTATTTTTAATGTTTTGTTTTTTTTTAAAGATATTTTTATGGATGCTTTTCAAGTTTTAAGTCAATAAACAATGCACAAGAAAATACTCCTCTCTGTGTCTTTCTTCAATCGCCGTTACAGGAGAATAACATGTGCCACATGTATACAGGTGAAACTCAAATAATTAGAATATCGTGCAAAGTTCATTTATTTCACTAATGCAACTTAAAAGGTGAAACTAATATATGAGATAGACTCATTACATGCAAAGCAAGATAATTCAAGCCGTGATTTGTCATCATTGTGATGATTATGGCTTAAAGCTCATGAAAACCCCAAGAACCCCAAATCCACAACCCCAAAAAAGTAGATTATTACATGCAATCAATAAAACAAGGATTGTACATAGAACAATATCGGACCTCTGAAAAGTACAAGCATGCATATGTACTCGGTACTTGGTTTGGGCCCCTTTTGCAGCACTTACTGCAATTACTTTTGCACGATATTCTAATCGAGTTTCACCTGTACATAAAGACAAAATGCACCTAGAGAACCTGATGTAATTTTATGCATGGGAAGCGCCTGGGTGGGTTTAATCCAAGGGTCCCAAATAAGTTCAAATTTTAATGGCTTGTCTCTGGGCTGTGAGAGCGAGTTGGTATAGTGGAAGGTTGGACTTTACCAACCATATCCATTCTTTCATGGAGGGAGTGCCTGGGCTCTTCCAGGTGAGCAAAAAACCTTTTGAGTGTAGAAATGGTAGAACTTCAGCATATTTAGAGAAATATTCATCTTCCAGTATACCGAGGAAGCAGGTTTTAGGTTTTTGAATACCAGGCAGCCCTACAACAATTGAAATGAAATCACTTGGATCCAGTATGTCTGTTCATAAAGCACGTACTTCACTGCAGCAGCAGAAACTCATTGGAGAGGAGCACAGGCTCAGTTTGTGTAGTTTGAGTGGAATATACTATATCTGATGGAAGAGTTTAAATTGTATTAATCTGTCTCTGGAGGAAATGAAAGAAGCTATGGCTATCCACAAAACACCCAATCGTTGTGGAGGTTGAGTATGACATCAGTCTTTGGCTTTCTGATATCTAGAACGGAGAGTGAATATGTTTGCCTGATGAAGTGCTACTAGTGCTACCTTGTATGTTTAATGTCTAAATAAAGGGCGTTGGACCTTGGTGTGCGGGTGACTGGTTCTAGACTTGGATTCACGCGGCTCCATGTTATTGTATTGGGATTCCGGTCTGGAATGCGGTGGGAAAATAGACTGGTATTGCCATATGGAGGTATGGACATAGACAGAAGGGAGAATATGCAGGAGCCAGAGCATTGCCCCTGTGATTGATCCACTGACCTGGTTGCAATGCTTTCCTGCCTTCAATGCAGTGAAGAAGTGTGCATTTGTTGTTTTATAAAAGGTGGAATTTCCCTTTTAAGAAGTACAAAAAGCCATTTATGTGCAACTCGCAATAACCTGTAGAAAACAGTAAGATAATATGTAAGATTGAATAAAAACCAGGTACTATCCAGTTCAACCTATGTATGTGTGTGTGTGTGTGTTGAGAGTTGGACATTGGCAGATATCTTTGTGTGGAGTATGAAACCGGCCAGGGGAACTATGAGAACATGAGATAAGTGGAGGATCTAGTAGCAGTGGGAGAGATCTGAAACGCTGATATATGCGATCTACGGCCATCTGGTATGAGGTGGTCATATAGTTTTGAGCTTCTTATGGGAAACCTGTCACGAGAAGAAGTTTCAGTTCTGGTCTCCTCAGGGAATTGCCAGTTGCCTGGGTATTATGCTGACTCAAAGGACAGGGTTAGGTTTCTGGAACTACCCCTCTCACCTCCACAGCAGAGAAATCACTGAGGACGGTCAGTCCATTGATGTTTTTTTTTATCCTTGCTGCATTTGTGAGTATATTTTATATACTTCTTTTACCAATAAAAAGATTTTATTGCACCAGGTCAGGTGCCGGTGTTTTTTTTTTATGTGTGTGTGTGTGTGTGTCTGTATATTAAAACAATTGTATTTCACCTCCGTCATCAGAACAATTAGGGCCCATTCAATCCTGTCTGTTGTGGCAATGCATGTGTTCTATGCGTGCTGCTATTCATTGTGTTGTAGAGGCCAACAGGCAAAACGTCGCAGCACGCACACCATGTGTTGTGGCACACTGATTTTTTTTTTAAGTGGTCATGTTCGCTTTTTCATCCTTTGCAGTGTCTTGACAGCCCATTCATAATAATTGCCTTAACGCAATGTATGGTACGTTAACTCGTGCAATGAAATGCTTCAGCGTGAATGAGCCCTAAAATACTTCTGACTTTTTGCTTTGCGTCCCTGGATACATCACGTGGCCAAAGAAAACAAATATATTACTGGAAACAAGTTTTTTTTTCACTTAAAAATGAGTAAATCAAGTAAAACATTGGGGTGTGTTTATAAAGCAGAGAGTCTGACATTCAGTATTAGGTAAATGTTTCTGATGCATGTGAAAGTAGGGTTAAGGTCAGGGCTTTGTACAGATCACTCGAGTTCCTCCACTCAAACCCATCAAAACCGTGTCTTTATGGAGCTGGCTTTGTATACAGGAGCAGTGATGGTGCAACAGAAAAAAAAGTGTTCACCAAACTGTTATCACAAAGTTCCGATTGTCATTGTATAGTAATATTTGTCAGTGGAGATTGCGTGGCAATGTGCTAGACTTTATGCACCTGGTTTTGGAATGGAATGTCCAACAAGTTCATACAGGTGTGATGGTCAGGAGTCCTCACACTTTTGGCCATATAGTGTATGTAGAGGAGTCTGTCTTCCAGAGAGTCGGCTCTCATTGGTGCACGTGGGTGTGGACGGTATGCATTTGACTCCACTGCCATTGATGTCACCTGACCCCATTCAGGACTCTTTGCAAGTCAGCCTTTGTATACCTGCGGCTGGTACCGCACAACCCCCTCCCCCCCCCAGCATAGAGAACCATGACATAGATCATGTTGCACCATAGCATACTATGACCTGTGTACTTTACAGGTAAGAACCTGACTGATTGTCTTAGAGAGGCAAAGGTCGGTGCCATTTTGTGAAAGGCTTCGGGTAAACAAATACCTGTGATCAACATAACTGAAGATTTTTCTATTCATTTAAAGTAGACTAGCGTCCGGTTTTTAGGTTATGTGCATGTATGTTAAGTAATATCTAAACATGGAATGTTTATATGGACCACACCGTCTTAGTTTAGGCATCAGGGAGGATCAGCATGTAATTTCTGGAGTGAGATTCTGACTCGGATGACACAATCCTGGCACCAGTGCAATTCCTGTCTGCATTCACAAATGTCTGACACAGATCAGTCCTGGCTGCAGCCTCTCAGCTTGCAATTCATTACAAATGTAACATGTACAGACTGGTTACTGGGGACATGCCTCCTCCTCCTGCCTGTGTTCTATCAAAGTTTGTGACTGCGTTAGAATGGGTGACCGGTGACGTGGTCACACATTTTAACGTAATCCCGTCCAGTTTTTCGGCGGTGGAATGTGTGACCGGTCATGTCGCACATTTTAAAGTAACCCCACCCACTTTTTGAGTTGTGGAATATGTAACCGGCAAAAGAATTACAACACTTTCTCAGCTGTTTCAGGGCAGATCGGCATCGCAGATCGCATGTGCAGGAGAACCGATCTGCCCTGGAACAGCCGATCGGTCCTGAAATGTCATTTCTATCCGACTTTGACTGCGATCTCACATTCCACATAGTCAGATAGAAGTGACAGTTCAGGACTGATCAGCTGTTCCAGGGCAGATCGCTTCTCCTGCACATGCCATCTGCGGTGCCAATCTGCCCTGGAAAATCTGAGAAAGCGTTGGAATTCTACACCTTTTGCCGGTCACATATTCCACCGCTGAAAAAGTGGGCGTAAGTACGTTAAAATGTGAGATCGGTCACACATTCCAACCCAGTCACATTATTTGATAGAACACCTGCAGCAGACTGATTACATCATCTCAGCCTAGGCAAAGTCACTGGACTGGAGCTCAAGGATGGCCTTTAATGTAAAAAAACAGAAAATGGCAATGTAACATACAGGGATTCATTCATGTAGACTTGTAAAGTTAATGAAAGGTCCACTTTAAGGATTCAGCAACATGGCAAGAGAGTTGCTACAATTAGACTTCAATCCCTGTATAGTTACTATATCAGTTTTCTCTGGTGCTGCTCAGCCCCCTATACTGTTAGGTCAGTTCAAAGGATCCCGAGACAGATAACCTGCACCTGAGACTCCCAAAGCATCTGTTGGCCTTTAATCCTTTTTGCTGCAAGAGCTGTTCATTCTGAAAGCGGAGACCCTGCAGGATAAAAGACGGCAATTGCAATTTCTTTTTATACCATATTAGCACAACTGCCCACCATGCCCATCCCAGGCCTGAAGGAGGGGCAGCAGAGCCTGGGATTCATGGTGGGGGGGTATACGGTGCATGTGGAAGTAATCTTCCTGAATCAATTCCAGCCAACAGTCAGATGAAGTGTAAACACATTCCTGGCTGCCATGGCAGTGTGACAGAGCGTGTTTAAAGACCCATGCAGCCACTGGCCCTATGACAGGCACCAGGATTTACATGATTGTTTTATTTCTGAGCCGACATCTCAGTCCAGGGAGAAGGTGGGGACCCTGGATGATGTCTGAACAAAGATGACGCCGTCCTAACAAGAAAGCAGATGACGGAATTGTCGGGAGGGGAATATTATGATCTCTCTGATCAGAAAAAGGATCTTCAAATTGTTACCACAAAGTTCCATTCACACAAATTGTCTAAGAAGTAATTGTAAGGTTACATTCTTCAGTGGAGATTGCTTGGCTAGGTGCTTGACTTTATGCACCTGGTTTTGGAATGGGATGTCAAGCTCATATAGGCGTGATTGGCAGGTGTCCACAAACATTTGCCCATATAGTGTATAGAGGAGTCTGCCTTCCACAGAGTCAGCTCTCATTGGTTCAAGTAGCTGTGGACAGAACGCATGTGGCTTCACTGAACGAAGATGGCACCATCCCAACAAGAAGGCATGGTCAGGGGGATATTATGATTTCTGAGAGGTAATACCTGCAACTCTTCTATTTACATTACTTACCATTAGGGATGTCCCAATACCGGTACTAGCATTGGTATCGGGGGCGGATACCAGGCATTTTCATACCCAAACTGTTAAAACCAGCCCTTTAAAGTTTTTAAACCGCCACGCTGCCCGAGTTCCTGCACTTGTGGGAACCTCAGGCAACCTGCTGGAGACCTGGCAGGAGCTGTACTTCGCAGTGCCTGTATAGTTCTATATCTCAGGCTCCTCCTTTCCAACACAGCCATGGACACACACACACACACACACACACACACACACACACACACACACACACACACACACACACCCCCTTTCAGGCCGGCACCCACCCAATCAGCATAGCCACTGCCCGCAGAGATCCACATGCTGCCCAGGTGAGATCGGCACGCAGCCTGGTGAGATCTGTATTTAGCTCTGGTGAGAAACTGTCCTAAAATCATCAGTCTGTATTATTTTAGAAAAAATGTCACATGTCCCCTTTAAGAAAACATATCGGTCATTGGTATCGACAAGTACATGGTCTTGAAAAAGTGGTATCGGGACATCCCTACTCACCATCCACTAAACATTAATAAATGTATCTGATGTTCAGTCCACTTTAATTGCCCACATTTTAGATTTTCCCCATTATTCAAGTAAATGTTCTCATTCATGGAGCCAGCGCCCCTTGTAATTTTCTGATGGTTTGGTTTAATGGACTTTATTCCAATCTCTCACATTATAACTTTCTCCCAATAAAAGAAAAAGCCGCGCCTCTGCCCACAATTCATTTATTTAAAAAAATAAAAATGACTAATTGCACGCAAGCGGTTACAATTACAAGCGCTGCTGGGAATGAACGGCGAGTCGGTGCTGGGAATGTTGCATTTCTTCTGGGCTTTGGGTCTCCCTCAGATGCTCATAACGGATTGTATGAACTAGGGAGAAAGAGAAACAAGTCAGTGAAAAGGTTTCTGCGGACCGATCCATTCCCCTGCAGCCCACAGACATAAAGCTACATAGAACTAACGTTCCGTGCCGGCCTCATAGACCACCAATCTGTGCTACTACAGATACACCGTGAGCACCCAGCCCAATGCAAGACTCTTCTCTCTGCTCAATGGAGGTTTCATTCAATCATTGCGGTCTTCAGGAGGTTAACAAAAATATTTAAAGGCTAAGTGCGCCTTCCTGACCATGTTTCATGTTATTCTGGGTGAAAGATGGCCAGATTGGCCCGCACACTTCCAGCGGCTGATCTCCCCTCCAATCACTGAAAGCGGAGCTGATGTGTATTACATTACTTTCAGTGTGTCATTTCTCCGGCTGTTGTAGCTGGAGAAGAAGCTAGTGAACCAGATCTCTGCTTCACCAGCTTCTTTGGGGGTCCCCAGGTGACATTAGGAGCCTAATAGACCTCTGATGTCTCCATAAATAGGACCTGTCACTGTATATGTCCTATCACATGGGGGACTTGTTAGCCCCCTATGTGAGAGCAATAAATGTAAGTGTTTAGAAACTTTTTTTTTCTTTTTATGCAACATTCAAATTTTATTTTTTTAAAGTCCCCCGCCTACCTGTGAAGACGATTGCGTCACATGTTACATATCCCTGTGATCGTGAGTGCGAGCAATATTTTTAGGACCATCAATCACTGTTAACACTAAATTGATGAGCGGTAAAAGCGTCGCCTATGGGCAATTTTGGGTATGGAAGTTTTTTTTGCGATTTCGCAGGTGCACGCAATTTTAAGGCGTGACATGTTGGTGTCTATTTACCCGACGTGCAGAAGAATCCTACCGCACTCCTTACTGGTATGTCCCTTGCGGTGGGTGCTGCAGTGATTACTATTTGGATCTGAAGCAGCGCCATCCGCAAAGTATGTCACCAGCACACCGTCACGCAGTGATCATTTTATTGATGCACACACATCTTGTCACATTGCAATGTTTCGGGGCCACTCAGGGTCCCATCATCAGACATGACAAAATTATGAAGGCACCCCGAGTGGCCCCGAAACGTTGCAATGTAACAAGATGGGTGTGTGTGTGTGTGTGTGTGCGCGCGCGCGCATCAATAAAATGATCACTGCTTGAAGATTGAACCATGGTGTGCTGGTGACATACTTTACCATTTACCCGGCAAAAGGTGTCGAATTGAAAGCTTTCCCAGCTGTTCCAGGGCAGATCGGTTCTCCTGCACATGCCATCTGCGGTGCCAATCTGCCCTGGAACAGCTGGAAAAGCTTTCAATTAGACACCTTTTGCCGGTCACATATTTTAACCCCGGAAAAAATGGGCGTGATTACATTAGGATTACGGTCACACATTACATTACGGTCACACATTCTAACGCAGCCACAAACTTTGATAGAACAAGGGGGGTTGAACACCCCAGACTTCAAGTGTTAACACGTCCCCTCCATTGTACACACAGGGGGAGTGGCCAGAATTGGTCCATGTCTTTGTTTTTTCCCCGCATGTAGTACTCACATCATCATACATGAAATTCACCATTCCCTGCTGTGACGCGTCTCTCCTTCTGAAGGTTTCTGCAAGCAACACAAACATAGGTCAGTAATACAATAGTCTGCCTGTAGAGTTCCCCTTTAATCCCACAGGCTGGCGACATACCCGTCAGGGCTCGCAGCTTCACACAACAAGTGATGTAGTCATCGAACCCAATTCTGCCGTGATTGCTGTACCTCCTGGTGATGATGTTCAGAGCTTGTGGGCTCAATCTAAAGCCTGGAAGAAAAAAAAAAAGCTTAACTTCCATTTGTCTGTACTGATCTACAGTCATTACAGTGGGAGGGACCCAGCAGACTCCACCCACTACAGGCTGCCTGCAGAAAAATACAGGAGGGGCGGAGACTAGACCAACCACTCTGCACAAGAACAGCGAGCAGCAGTGAGCGGTCACAGGAAGCTCCAAGTGTCACACTGAATGACTGCACAGATCTGGAAGATATACACAAAGCTCACCCAGATCGAAGGAAGAACACACATGACTCCTATACGAGGACAATATTTGCTTAGCCCAGATGCAGCTTGAAGTTCTCTTTGTACCTACCCATAGATCCCAGAGACCTGTGGAGCTCCATCCCATCTATTGTTCCGCTCCGGTTTGCGTCCATGACCATGAAGTTCTGTCTCCAGCCATTCAATACCATCCCCAGTTCTTTAAACTCATTGAAGCCCATCTTGCCCGACATGTCCCTCTATATAATGAATCATTAAGGAAGAACACAGAAAAGTCCCGGAGCGCGGCATTAATCACACCGACTTCAACACCAAAACCAAGGGTTGGCAAGTACCGGACTGCAACTGTGGCGAGACTACAAATCCCGTCTGGTCTCTGCGAGTCATGTCTACCCCCTGTTCTGGAAGTCATGCCTCTGGCACTCAGAGTCTTGCAATGCACCATGGGACTTGTAGTTCTACAACAGCTGAAGTGCTGAGGTTGCCTGCCACTGACCTACACAGTGCAGATTGCAGTTGTGATAGCAAGGAGCAGAAAAAAAAACAAATAACAAAAGGTGGGGTGGGGTGGGGGTGGGCGGGGGAGTACAATCTGTATTGGGCAAATATGTGCAATCCTCCTCTGGCAGTATTGTGATCCAGGCCACCCCTGGCAGGCAGCACGGGAAGGTCGGTAACCTGATTTTATAAAAAGATTTTTTAAAGGAAATCCGTCATAAAAGAAGGCACTCTTCCTGAAAAACGCTACTTTACTGGCTGCTACACGGACCCTTTAAAGTTTAAACTTTAATACTTTGAGCCACTGACTTTAAACAAGCACACACATAATGGCTTTTGGCTTTGCTCCTTTGCAGGTTGGATATTGAAAGTACTGACAAAGTGGCATAACAGCCAAGCACCTGGCATGTTCCAACAATGAAAGCCCCTGGATTCCTCTAATGACGGGTTTACTTTCAGCAATCAAGACTGGTATCTGGCCCAGCTCAACCTGTGACTGGCCAGCATAGAAGCATCTCCAATTGTGAGGTATCTCTGGGCTCTTACTTCCTTTTAGCAAGCATCCAGTTTTAGACCAACAGCACTATGCAGTGCAATAGAAGCCGAATTACAGCACCACCCACCACTCTAGAACAGGGGTAGCCAAACGCCGACCCTCCAGCTGTGGTGGAACTACAAAGCCCATGAGGCGTTGCAGGATTCTCACAGCCACGACTCCTGGAGAGAGATGCATCATGGGATTTGTAGTTTCACCACAGCTGGAGGGCCAGAGTTTGGCTACCCCTGCTCTACTACACCACTAGCGAGGCACCCCTGGACTCTACTTCCTGTTAGCGAGCATCCATTATTAAACTAACAGCACTGTGCAGTACGAATTACAGCACCGCTACTCTCTCAAACTCCACTAGTGAGGTATTTGTGAGCTCTTATTTCCTGTTAGCAAGCACCCATTGTTAGACTAGCAGCACTGTGCAGTAGAAGTCGGATTCCAGCACCACCCCTGCTATGTAGAGGTTTACAGGAAGCTAATATAAAGACAGACGGATGTACCGTTTTTTGCACACATGCTGCATTAAAAGAAAGTCACATCCTGGTACAGTTCTGCTTCACACACAGAATTTCAGGAATTTGGCAGAACTGAATAGATTTAAATGGATGGGATACGGCGTGGAATGTTTCCCGGCACACAGCTCACCATTTCACAATACAATAGCCGACTGGCAGTTTTCAGCTTCCTGTTGCCCATAGGGGGGAGCCAATGCATTACATCAGGGGTGGGCAACTCTGGCCCTCCAGCTGTGCTTTCACTACAAATCCCAACATGCCTCTGGGAGTCACGCCTGTAACAGTCAGTCTCGCAATGACTTGTAGTTCCACAACAGTGGGAGGGCTGGAGTTTGCCTGCCCCTGCTTTAGCCTAAAGGGGACACCAATGCATTTCAATGCAACCTCGGCACTTAAACCTACAAATCCCACCATGCCTGGGAGTCATGCCTGTGGATGTCAGAGTCTTGCAATGCCTCATGGGAGTTGTAATTCCACAACAGCTGCAGTGCCAAGGTTGCCCACCCCAGCATTACAGACTGCAGAGGGCAGTAAGTGTGAGGAAAGCAGAAACCCTTCTTTTTAGTTTTGATAAGAGTAGAGAAAAGGTTAACCCAATGAATTGCTTTTTTTTTTTGCTGTGTGTCCCATCTGGGAAATTTCCCTTCACTTCCTGTCCCAAAAGGCACAATAGGAAGAAGGAGGAGATCTCTACAGAATGATGGGAAACCCCCTCTTACATCGTCGTCACCAGAACAGGTTTCCCCATTGCAAGATTTCCTCTTTGTACTGAAGAAACCAGAACAGCGAGGGTGAAGGACTAAGGACAAAGAAGGAAGGAATCAGGCGCCGTTCACACTTGGCGTTCTGTGAATGCATGTTGTGTTCGCTCGTGTTTTTTGCTGCACATCACCCATTGATTTCAATGGGTGCCACACGCATGACAAATGCAGCAAAGAAGCTCATGCAGCAAACTCTGCTGCAAGTGTACCACGTTTTTGACCACATGTATGTGCACGTTTAAGGCCCCATTCACAATTGAGCGACTTGCGATATTGAGCGACTTGCGATATTGAGCGACTTTTTCCTATTGGGCTGTATGCAATCAGGAGCAAAATCGCTCGAAAGAAGGGTCATGTAGGAGCGACAAGCTACAGCGACGAGCTACAAGTGATATTGAGTGGCGAGATGTGAACAGCTCCATTGAAATGGTTTGGAGAAGCTACATAGAGCGATATCGTGTGGAAATATGAGCGATATCGCTGCAAAAAAAAAAAAAATCGCTTGATAAATCGCTCAGTGTGAATGGGGCCTAACGCGTTTTACCTGTGCGTTTGAGGTGCCATTAACAATGGTACCGCAAGCGAGTCACTTTAAAAAAAAAAAAGAGTTGTAGGAACGTGCGTCAATGTGCGTGTTTGGCGCGTTATTATTATTATACAGGATTTATATATCGCCAACAGTTTGCGCAGCGCTTAACAATATAGGGAAGACATTAACGCGAAGGTGCGAATGGGGGCTAATAGAGAGGGATGAATCTTCCCAGCAAAGGCAGACCGCAATAAAAACATGACAGGGGCTCCCATCCAATCCACATTGTATTCAAAGATAAAAACACCCAAAACATTGTTACATTGTAACTGCCACTGTCAAAACCCGGAAGACCGACTCTACAGCATGAGGGCATCTGGAGTGCAGTACTTGGATCGGGTATAGGTGACCGATCTTGTAATAGGGCAGAGCAGCTGGAGGTGACATATAGACGACATGACCTGTTTCCCAGATCAGGGAAATGAAGTCTAACATAACAGAGGAAGAACTGCAATTGTAGATAAGAAGAAGGATACGTCCAACATGGAGATCATCACTCTGCAGGTTTCCAGGTTAAAGGCTGTAAAGACAAAGCAAAATAATCAGGTTCATAGCATGAACAAGGGCAGGTATATGACCGGGAATTCAGGCCCCCTCCAGTGCAGTTTGGTGAGGAGAGTCCCTTTAAGTCAGAGGTGGGCAAACGCTGGCCCTCCCTCCTGTGGTGTAACTGCGAGAAGCTCATAGTGTGCAGTGAAATCAGCTGGAACCTGTAAGGTGCTGTAATACATACAAGTCAGCTTTGGTTCAAACAGATCTCATATAGTAAATTTGTAGCCAATATCTACATTGTGCTTCCTGATCACAAATAAATATCTGAACCATGGCTACATAAACCTAATAAAGTGATTATTTCATTGAGGACCTCCCCGCTGCCCCAGCCCCCCTTCCTGTGCGGAGTAAGGGACCTCCCCGCTGCCCCAGCCCCCCTTCCTGTGCGGTTCCCTCTCTGCCTCCCCCCTGTGCAGAGAAAGGCCTTGCTCCAGCTGCTTACGTTTGTATGATCCAGACATGCCAGATTGTGAGAGACATCTCTGCAGCTCTTCAGCATCTATCTGTCCATCCTGCAAGAGAAGAGCCCTGGTCACAGCAGGTGTGGTGACTGCATTAGTTTTCATTCTTTTCTAACTGCTGATCCTGCCAGTAACACTTCCTGTCCTAGGGTGACAACAGTCACTAGCTGCACTGTATCTATGGAGGAGCAGAGATTGTCACTCTAGGACAGGAAGTGTGTTAGGTCCACAGAGCACAGGACAGCACTGGGTTTCTAACAGAATTAACAGGGGTTTTTTTTTTTATTAACACTAATAAAACAAATAACGAAAATGTCTTTAATGATATATTTAACAGGCCAAAGTGGAGCAAATGAGAGGAATTCATGGCCAAGAGTTATGTACACTTTAAGGAATTTTTTTATATAGTTACTTGCAGGCTTTTCAGCAAAAGTGGATTTGAAAAACAACTGATGGCTATGTTTATGCTTAAAAGAGAACTATGAGGCTATCTTATATACCTTGTCAAAATATGGTCAAAAATTCTGCCAAAATAGATCTATAGATAGATATATAGATAGATAGATAGATATATAACACAAGCCCTTCAGGCCGAGCCATCTGACAGAAATGACTATTCTACTTTCCGGATGGAAGGATATGTTTCCTCGGATAGGTCACATTCCTGGGGTGATGGAATATTAAACTCACCTGGCCTGCTATTTGTAGGAAGTAGCCATACATAGGATCTTGTTGTGGGTATCCACCGGGTGCCGGTACAAACTGTGTAAAAAGAAAAATATGAATTACGTGTCTGGCTCAGAATCACACACATTCCACATTTTCAAGATATGGTCTGAAGATGTTGTTCATTTTCTCATACTGATCCACCATGGTAGAGTCAAACCGTATGAACTTTTAATAATCTGGAACTTGTGTAATCCCCCCCATCCTCATGGAGACCCCTCAGGTGGCCATATTTATTTTCCCTGCACTGATCCCGTGTGCAGCCCTGGGGAAAGTCATGGGACATACAGATATATTTACCCCCTGTCCTCCTTTTATGTAGTGGTGCCGAAGAGGCCAATTGCCAGACTGAAGCAGTGTCCCATGGGGATATTGAAGAAGTTGAAAAGAAAGCCGACGATCAAGGAAGGAAGGAAGGAAGGAAGGAAGGAAGGAAGTAAGGAAGGCACAGAATAACAGGAAGAGAAGAAGAAAGAGAAAGGATAAAAAGGAAGGGAAGAAAGGAAGGGAAGAAGCAAGGTAGAAAAGAAAGGAAGGGAGGGGGGTGAAGAAGAAAAGGGAAGGATAAAAAGGGAGGAAGAAAGGTAGGGAAGAAGGGAGAAAGAAAAGGAAGAGAGGAAGGTAGGAAGAAAGGGAGGGGAAAAAAAAAAAAACAACACAGAAGGAGAGGAAAGCTGGCTCACAGGTCCCTCCTGTGGCTAGTCACAGGGTCTGCTCTGCCATGGCAGGGAGGGAACTCAATGTTTAGGCAGAGTTGCTCATTGGCTGCCTCATTCTAAATATTTCCCAGGAGTCTTTGGCAGAGATCACATGACCATTACTACTTGACCATCATTCATCCTACTGCTACAATTTTTATATTAAAAATGGAAGAAAAAAAAAAAAAAAAAAAAAAACCACACACAGACACAGACTGTGACGTATAGTCAGAGCTGTAAACTCACACGATCTCATTCCAGGAGTCTTCAATAAAACCTCAAGTGAGAGGAATAGAGACCCGGCCACTGCTCACCTCTATCGGCAAAATTCTAACTGCCTGGCTATCTCTGGCTTCAGTACTCCCCAAGGCACTGACCCCAGGACATGATAACTATTGAATAATAATGCAAAGCTCCTGATCTGAACACTTGTTCCAGGTCACGTCAGAAAGTATTTAGGTCCATAAGTCAGCATAGCAGCCAGGCAACTATCATTTATAGAAGAGGTCCTCAATGGCAGCCTCCGAGTTTCTCTAACTACAGGTTCCCTTTCAAGTAATACAAGATGATGCAATCAACACCCACCTCTGAACTATCAGTTATGGGTAGACTGATTACTTAGATTGGCCATTGAGGGCTTGGATTCCAGCTGAATTAGATGAAATGTGTGCATTGGGTGGCCATGTCCGCACCACTCATCCCATCAGCCATTGTTCAGGTATGTAGGCGGTCATCTACAATAGCCGGCAGGTGGGGATTCCTCCATCTACACCGTTTAGCATGGCTGCAGGAATCAATAGATTTTTTTTCTCATTTAACCCGTGGGCTGAATGAGAGAAAATGAGCCAGTTCTGTAGAAATACTACAGGATCTGCAAGGTGGATGGGAGCGGCACCACCTAGTACTGCTGAACAATGACGGCAATGGGTGGATATAGAGTTTCACTGGCAGGTCGGCTACAAATGCATCCAGGAAATATCACTCTCATACCATGAAGTGTTCTCCTCCCCAGCACGGTATTCAGAGTTTTGTTCAGCTAGAACAAAAAAAAACTAAATCCCCTTTAACACCCCCAGCATGACCCGGAGCTACAAGTCCGCATGCCTTCTATTCTTCCATGTAGCAGAGACATTTATCAGCAATCAAACCACCCCGAGTCATGCAGCGGATCAGTAGGGGTTGAAGAATTTGGTCATCCAGAAGTGTGCATCTGCCCAAACCCAGAAGGAAGCAGTCAGCGCCGGCCCAATCAGCCGTGGGCCCTAGGCATCCCCCGCCCTGCAATTACACTTAAGGAGAACTATGGGGTAAGTGAATTACACTCATCCTCATAGATAGAGCTGGCGTGCGATATTGAAACTGACACCTTGGCTCTATTAATTAGGAAGTGGAGGAACTGGCAAGGGAGGAGGCGGGCACAGCGGGATAGGCAGAGCCCGCTGTCAATCAGCCAGCTGGATCGTGACGGTATTGCTGTGGTCTGTCCCGGTTACGGCGTTCTCAGCATAAAGCGGGAAATCGCCCAATATATACTGAGCTTTGGGTCACGGGAGGTGGTTAGTATATATCCTCCCGTGACCCTAAAGAGAACTATGGGATAAAAAAAAGAAGATTACCTCATGGTAGTAAACATCCCACATAAAAGCATTGCCCTTATATGGTCACAGAACCGTATTTGGTCAATGACACCGACCAAAATCGGGCCATGTGACTTTCAGACTTTCTATTCGAACAGTCGTCTGTTTGTAGGTTGGCTGTATAAATAAAGATTGATGAAGACACTGATCTTCTCTCTGATGTTAATATTTCTTCACCAGATCCCAGCAATTGGTAGAGATCAATGCACTGGCACTGCATTGCTGTCAGATTTCACCAAACATGGGGAGTGAAGGGTATATTTTTAGACATCGGTTGCTATAGTACATACATACATACATAGCCGTCTCCTAGCAATAGGCAGAGTCTCAATAAAAAGTCATCACACACCTTCCATATACCTCACTTTATGGTTTGTGTGACCTTAGAAATATTTGTTTATAGCAACCATGGAGCATTGACCTCAAAGGCAACCTGTGCTCTGCCCGGGCAGGGAAAAGTTTTACTTTAACCACTTCCTGGCCGGAGTCATTTCTCGATATACACACACCTGAATTTTTGGCTAGAAAAACAGCTTCAGACCCCCAAAGCAATTATATATTTTATAAAAGCAGAGTCGCATTTTTTTTTTATTTCGCACGGTATTTGCACAAACGTTTATCAAACCAGTATTTCTAAGATAAAGTACACTAAAATAAAATTTAATGCACAGAAACAGAAAAGAATACCCAATTTTGGGGTAAAACATAAAAGACGGGGTCCCATCGGGTAAATGGATACCAAACACGTCAAGCCTTAAAACTGTGTGCGCCCATGAAACCTCAAAAAAACGACAATACCCAAAATTTCCATAGGCGACGCTTGAAAAGCTTTTACGGCTCATCAGTTTAGGGTTATCAGTGATTGATGGCTCTAGAATTATTGCTCTCACTCAGACGCTCGCGGCGAAATGCAACATGTGGCTCAATGTTTGCGTTTGTAGGTGCGTGTACGTGGGGGCGGGGAACTTTAAAAAAAAAAAAGAAAAAGAAAAAAACACTTTTATAAATTACTTTCATTTTTTTTTAAACACTTTTATTGCCATCACATAGGGGGCTAACGATCCCCCTATGTAATAGCAGATAGGGTATGACAGGTCCCTTTTATGGAGATATCAGGGGCCCGTCAGGCCCTTAATGTCACCTAGGGACCCCAAAGAAGCTGATAAAGCACAGATCTGCTTCACCAGCTTCTTCTCCTGGCTGCAGGAGCCGGAGAATGTGTACAGTGACACTGGAAGAGATGTAATACACATCACTTCCGGGTCCAGTGATTGGAGGAGACATCAGCAGGCTATAAGTGGGACTTTATAGAGATTTGCATAATACCTTCTAAGAACCAGCCCACTGCTTGCACAGGGCTGAGGGCTCCGGAGGCAGGGTGCAGGAATGTCTTCAGGAAGCCATGTACAGCACTCTGCCATCCCCTCCCACCAGCCGTGATCTGCCTGCATCGCATAGAGGAACACAGAAACCCAGCAATGGCATCACGGGGTCAAAAATAAGGTATACAATGACAAGTGAAAGGTTTTATGTGATTATCACGCAAATGGAGGTAGAAAAAGAAGAAACCAGGGATGATCAGATCAAGTGACATTTGCTAGCACTGGAATTGTTTATTACATTCGGGTCTTTCCAAGTTGCTGGGATATCTCTGCAATGGTTTTCATTTCCCCACACAGAGTAGGGAACAGATAGGTCAGAGTCAGGGTTGAGATTTGTACAATACAATGCCAACCAATCTGAGCCCAATACCATATCAGACAGCCATAAACAGTCACCCTACCCAAATGCAAAGTCCAAGCATGACAGATACTCACCCTGTAACTAATCCCTATTATACGTGATGTGTAAACATTGTAAAATATTTACACACAGCACAGACGTCAGTGTTCCCACCTACCATACTGCTCACTTCATAACGTCTTCCAGGGCAGCCATACATCGCCTGATACCGGTCTCATACGAATGCCACATTGAACCATACACTCCCTACCAGGGGCACGACTACAGATCATGGGGCCCCATAGCAAAGTTGTGATGGAACAAAACATGAGCTGTAGATATCATATAAATAATAATAATAATAATAATAATAATAATAATAATAATAATAATAATAATAAATTACCATCACATTATTTTATATTGCGACATAACTGTCAGCACTCCTGCGCACAATTCCTCTATAACCTCAATATGTGCTGGGGTTGCAGAACTACAATCAGTTTTCAGGTGAGGAGACACCCTGGGATTTTTACAGCATATGATAGGCATACAGGGTTAATTTCAGTGCTGGCCGGGATGACCAGAAGCTTTCAGGTCTCGTTCACACCTAGGCGTATTGCATATGCGCGTCTGTCGCGCGTTTTTTTAACCGCGATTCGCGGCAAAAAAGTCACGCGACAAACGCGCGTTTCCGAGGGCTACTTGGCTGTATCCCAATGGAAACGCGCAACAAAACGGCCCGTTTTGTAGCGCGTTAGGGACGGGCGGAAATACGCCAAGGTGGGAACGAGACCATTGAATACAATGGGATTTATATTGTTGAGCGTTTTGTAGAGCGTTCATCGAGCGTAGAACGCGCTACAAAACGTTCAGGTGTGAACGAGGGCTAAGGGCAATACATCTTCACTGATGAGACAGCTAAACAAACTCTCCACACTTACACAACCTGCAAAGGGGGATCTGCAACTAGTGACAAGGATTCTAAAGACACTTCCTGAATGCTTGACCACAAAGATTCTAAAGACGCCTCCTGAACGTCCGATGTCTTCATTGGAAAGGTCACTGGGGGTTGAGGGTCAACAACAACCTCTGTAATCCCTAAGTTGACCCTGTATCTAAACCAGTGATAGATATGCGTTGTATTCACATGCACACATATTAAAATGCCTCAACAGTCCTCCTTTTAGGGTCCCCTCCCACCTCCAGGCCCCATAGTACATGTCATAATACACTACTGGCCCCTACTGACAGCATATGCACTTAGAGCCCAAACACTGGTGCAAATAGGCCCTTACCGTTTATGAAAATAATTGTTAGCTGCAGCCCTAGAATTTCATAATCTATTAGTCACCCGATATTTTTTCGATTAATCGATTTGGTTGCATTAAAAAAATAAATAACTCTCTCCACCAACTAATCGATAACGAGAATAGTTGCCAACAAGGAAATGTTGGCTTTTGGAGACATTTCAGCCGGGTCTACTCTTCAAAAGGAGTATAGTCTGATGGCACGGGCAAATATCTACACTCTTCTTAACTAGTTTCGCTTTTATTTGGAACTTGAGACTGGTGACAGGTTCACTTTAAACATCCTCGTTAGCATACTTGATGTGAACGTCTGCAAAGCCCGACATTACTCTAATCCACAGGATGTGACAATGTTATTACTGGACCACAAAAGGGAAGTTGTTACTTCATCAACCAAGTTAGCACTGTTTTGTCAGGTCACCACGAGTGCTAAAAGTATTACTAAAGTCACAAAAAGTGTTTCATTATAAAATGTATTAAATTATGTGATTATGTGAAAAATGTGTGGGTTTAAAAACAAACATATACATACATGAAAACATTCTACAATACGTCGCCTAAAGACACGACTGAAGAACGTTCCTTTTTTGCCCACACATCCGCACAGATCGAAAGTTCAGATATTCGCAGAGTGAAGGGTCCTGCAGATATTTTGTAATACTTTAGATTATTTATAAACTAACATATCGTTACATTGTAAACAGGACAATGTATTCATCTTTTGGCCTCATTCACACTGAGCGCACCGATCCCGGGAGGGACAGGTGCTGCGTGTAGCGGCCCGTTTTTTCCTACAGGAGGACGCGGCTGTACGCGCAGGTTCGGGTGTCCTCGCTTGTATGGATCCTGTTTGCGTCTAAGTGGGGACACCCGGACCTGCATGCATGTGCAGTTCGGGTGTCCGTATGACACCGTACAGCCATAGGGAAGAACAGGCTGCTGCGTGCACTCACACGCAGCACCTGTCCCTCCCGGGATCGGCTGTTTACGGGCGTGCACGCCACATGGACAAGTACATCCTACGTGAATGAGGCCTAAGGGTAGGATCACACCTGGGCGTTTTTCAGCGCTGAAAAAACGCTCAGCAAGTGAAATCCCATAATTCCCTATGGGCATGGTTCCCACCTGGGCGTACTTCAGCACGTCGAAACGTGCTGAAAAACGCCCTACGCCCAAACAAGTACATGAGCTTCTTTTGGGGCGTTTTTCCACGCGTATCCATTAGGATACAGCCGGACCGCTCTCGTAAATGCGCGTTTGACGCGCGTTGTGGACTGCAAATCGTGTAAAAAAAAACGCGTATTATGAACGCCCAGGTGTGAACCCAGTCTAAATGTCAGCTTTAAAAAAGGAAAAACATGAATAATGACCTAAAATGTTCCAAATGTAATGCTGACAAAGACAGAATATTCTTCTGAAGCCAATCAATGCACCAAATCACTTCAGGGACAAACCTCCAAGAACTGTCCCTGGAAATCTGAGGCGATCGCCGGTGGGGTCGCCTAGCAGTCAGGAAGAATGGATTATTGATCGGATTAGCTTTTATCTCAATGGAATTGGGGCTGGATGATCAGTTTCTCACGTGTATGGCCAGCGCAAGACAAATTTATTTCTATGCAAAAGGAAGGAGGAGGATCTTGGGGGAAGAGGAGGTTGGTAGCCGCTGGGCTGCGTATCTCAGGGCAGAATGCGCAGAGGAGATGGCTTCCAGCCTGATTAACCCTTTCCTGACCCACCATTTATTTTTAAAGCCTAGACCCCCC